ACCTTGAAAAGTCAGCTAAATTTTCAGGACTATTTCTTTCACAGTAGCCTTAAATAAGCAAACATATAGCTGTCAAAAATTTTCCAAGTCCTTACATGATGGTGAGGTTTTTGTGAGAGGAAAGATTTCTAGCTAAGGTGAATTTCAATATGGTATGACAGTACCTACATTCAAACTGCAGATTTGTAAAACTTGCTTTCTAACCCACTCAGATAGGTAAATATCAGGAATCTGTATGAGATTTCCTATGTGACTTTTGAGTACCACACTCATACAATTAAGGAATGATATCATGGTCCTGAAAGTGTGTTTGTGTGTGTCTGTGTCTGTGTATGTGTGTGTGTGTGTGTGTGTGTGTGTGTGTGTGTGTGTTTTCTTATGCTGCATGCTTCACAGGACACATTCAGAATGCTGTGACAGCTTATTACTATACTTGACCTAGCCTGCGGTCTTAAATTTAAAGGATGAACAAGGCATTATAGGTTAGAGAAGAAAAGAAGGTCAAAGAAACCTGGAATTGGCTGAACCATAAGTTAGGGAAGAATAAATCACATTATTTCTCTCAGAACAGTGAGGAAAACCCGTAACACAGGATTTAAATGGTGAAGTGATGTGATCAGATATGCGTTTTTTAAAAGACGACTTTGGTCCTTCTGAGAAGCACAGATTGAAAGGCAAGAGAGACTTTGAGAGGCTTCCTTTTAGTAATCTATAACACACTTCTTTAAGATTCCCTCTCAGGTTTCACTTTTAATTGGCAGTTGCCCCAAAGTGGCCTCTTCCCATCTCAAAAACAAATCTCAAAATATTTGGGCGTATATTCTTTATAAATATTATCTTATTATAGTCTCCCCACCTGTGACTTTCTTTTTCAATTTTTTAGAAGCTCCTCTGTGATTTGCTGAATAAATCAGAAAAACAAAGTGGAGAGTGAAGCTCATGAATTCCCAAGGTAGCCTGTGTTCAGAAGAGTCTCATGCTTTGTTTATTTCTCTGTTGTCAGGGTCTTGAGATCCTTAAAAATAAGATGCCTCACATTTTTATTTTGCGTGGGGTCCCCAAAATTATTTAGCTATTTACAGAGCAAAGACCAGATATAGTTTCCAAGGTCATGGCCACATGGCCCATGCACACACACCCAAAGTGCTTTACTAGTCTCTTAGCCCTCAGGTCAATCAAGTGGACAATCAGGATCGATCACCACAACACCTATTGTGATCAAGGAGAAATATCAACAATAGTAGTAGACCTGTAATAAATAAAGCAGCCAAGCCTAACAAATCACATGTACATAGAATAAGAAACAAAGCATTATATTTAATGGTGAAAGACTAAATGTAGTCCCCTTAAGATCAGGAAGAAGATAAGGGTGTTGGCCACCAATACACATACACAATATTCTACTGGAGGTTCTAGCCAGAGTGATTGGGCTAGAAAAAACAATATATAAATGACATGCATATTTCAAAGGATGAAATAAAATTATTTTTATCCACAAATGATACAGTGCTATCTTATATAGAGGAAATCCTAAGAGATCCACTCAAAAACTAATAGTACTAATAAATGAGTTCAGCACAGTTGTAGACTACAACATTAACATTTTATATGCACTGAAGAATCTAAAAATAAGGAAAATATTCCATTTGCTATGGCATCAAAACGTAAAATGCAGCACTCAAATTAGCAAAAGTAATGCAAAACTTATACTATAAATATTATAAGATATATAGTACTTGGAAGGTATTTCAAAAGTCTGAAATACATAGAAATATATCTCATTTTCAGTTTGGCATTTCCTCAAAATATTAAACATAAATATATTGTATATAAGACCCAATAAAGCTACCTCTAGATGTTTACACAACATAAATGACAGTGGGTACAAATAAACTTGCATATGAATGTTTGTGGCAGTAGTATTCATACTAACTCCAAAGTAGCAACAACCCAAGTGCCCATCATGAATAAATAATAAAATGTGCCGTATCCATAGAATGTGATATTACTTGACAGTAAAAACAATGATTTACTGATACATACCATACACAGATGAACCTTGAAAATATTATTTTATCTGAAAGAAACCAGACAAAAATGCCATATCTTGTATGATTCACTAGCTTGTATAAGGTCCAGAATAGGGCAGTATATGGAGACAGAAAGCAGATCGGTGCTTAGCTTCATAGACATTGAGATTATTATATCAGTGGTTCCCAACGTAGCCTCTGGTATCAGAATACCTGTGTTCAAAGGCTGGCCTCTCCTTTACTTGAGGAAGGGCATTCGAAAGTCAACCCTTCTGAGACTCACAAAAGAGAGTTCATTTATATGACAAAGAAAAAAGTTGGTGTGCAGACTCTTTTTAAGGTGGGGGAAAGTTCCTTGTTTTAAAGATTTTCATCAAGTTGTACAGCATATCTCACAGGGCTGAGAAGTACTATAGGGATTCAATAGGTGATAGTTACTGCTGCTGACATTTGTTATACAAATTAATAATTTCATAAGAAAATTTTTAAAATTTAAATTTAGAAGACAAAAAATGTCAAAATTCCTAGAAAGCGTGCTCCCCAAATTTTGTGATTTAGTAGATCTTATGAATTCTTAGTTCTTATGTAAAATATTTTTTTTTAAAAAATAACTTCCAGATTTATAGGCTAAAAGAATCCACAGGTTTTGAT